TATTATAAATACTGCTATTTCCCAGAATTATTAATCAATTTCATACTTCAGATTTTCAGATTTTCTTGAGTTCTCTTCTTTGAGTTTTCGCCACCTTTTCTCTCTCCTAGAGAAATCGGTGTTATTCGCTAGGTGCTAGCGAACGCCCGGTGCTTGCATAGCCAGCTCCGGTTTCCATTGCTTCTACGCTGCGTTAGCAGTCAAGGAATGTTTTGAAAATGGATCTATACTCATACAATTGAACAAGTCAACAGTTACTCTTATTCCTAAAACTTTATAACAGCCTTGAATAAATGAGCCATTTCTGTCCTACTGGCTTTTGCAACACCATTTATAAGGTAATTGAGAAATTAATTGTTACTAGATTTAAGCCTTTACTCCCTCAAATAAACTAGACCAAGAGAAAGCTTATGATAAATTAGAATGGCCATTCATTTTTAAAATTCTTTTTTAAGTCTGAACATTCTCATTCTCTTAAACTTGATCAACTTAATAATGAGTTCTATTACTACTACATCCCTAGCTATAGACTTCAATGGTGATCAACTCCTTGAAGCTTTCAATCCTATGAGGGACCCTCTGTCTCCCTATATTTTTCTGTTATGTTTAGAAACCCTCTTAGTTCTAATCAACAAATGGCAGAAAGGACACATCACCCCTTTAACTGCTCTAGGAATGGACCAAGTGTATCACATATTTTCTATGTTAATGATCTCTTCATTTTTACAAAAGCTTCCTATGGAGATTTATCAGTTTCTTGTGATTTTTTTATTTTTTTGTTTATAATCATTAGTTAGTGTTATTAGGTCCAAGGCCAATTAGTTATGTTGTTTATTTGGAGTTGTTTTTATGTTATGAACAATAGCCACCTTAAAGGGCATATTTGTCTTTGTAATCAATCTTTTTTATGAGTACATAAGATAATGAGAGGGGCTTTTATATTATTATTGGATTCTCCCCATCTCTTCTTCTCTTCTCACTATAGAACTCTCTTTTTATCTCTTCTTTGGCAGATCCTAGATAAATTAATTTTGCTTGGCTTATTGAGAAACAATCAATTATGCAAAATCCTTTCTTTTCACTTCCAGAAATGTTCACCATAGGCATGCTCTGATCCTCAATAGGAATCTGGGTTTTAGGTTTCTCAACTGTTGTGAGAAATATCGAGGATTTCCAATGTTTAATCCAAGAGTCACTAAATAAAACATTAAATTTTAAGTCAGTCATATTGATGCAAAACTAGCTGGCTAGAAATCATCTTCCCTTAGCCTTGTAGCGAGGTATACCATTCTCCAATCCATTCTCTCTACCTCCTATCTCATGCAATGCAAATCTTTTGGCTTCCTACCTCCATTAATCGAAGAAGGCAAAGATTCCTATAGAGGTTTTCATTGAACAAGTGTAAAATACATATAATCAGTTGGGATAAGATCACTCTACCCAAGCTTTTAGGAGGGCTAGGAATTAAAATTTTTAAGGGCAAATTTCTTGAACTACCCTTATGGTTTAGCTAATTGACTTACTCTACACTTACTATTTACATATTGTCTTAAAGTACCACTACTGTTTATGGAAAAGCTGTTCCAAACAAACAGCCATTTCCTGGAGCATTGTTCTTTTCCAATGTGATGCTAATGTGCCACCATTTTCTAGAGCAACGTCATCGATGCCAAATAGACGCTTAGGAAGTGCCAATTCAACAGAGGGGGTGAATTACCAATTAATAGCATTCTGAATTCAGACATTGATATTAACTTAAAGGACCGGCTGAAATGTAAAATTGCAAGCTATAAACATCAAAACATGGCTTTGTTTAGCTACCTTTATTGGCAGATATCGAGGGAAAGGAACAATAAGATTTTCAACGTCAGAMTTTGACCCAAAACATTCAGTTCTCATGACTAAAATATTTGTCCAAAACTTCCAACATGCTCAAAACTATGGATCCCCTTGTGAGAATAGGAGCAACAACAAGAACTAGAAAAGATCTGCTAGATGATGAAGAATGGATTAAGTTCAACACCAACTGTGCTACCCAATAAGTGATGGAGGAGGGGGGTGTACTGCGGAATATGTGGGCAATTAGAGGGGTCAAATGGCTTGCCGTTTTATATCGGGAATGGTAAACGAATTTACATCGAAGTCTCCAAGATTTCAATATAAGCCTAAAATTGATGATAGTTCGGTTGATTACTCCAAGCTTTCATGTTTGTATGCAAGTTGCCATCAAACATTAGAAAATTTAATAAAATTAAGAATAATTTTTCCTAAATATTTTAGCAGCCAATAGATAGAGAGAGAGGGAGAGGGAGGTAGGTACGGCACCCATTGATTTTGGCGGTGTTTGGAATTGTGGGCATTTATTAAATAAAAACTTCTGCATAGATGGTCGTTGCAACATCTTCTTATTATGTGAATAGTATAGAGATTTGCAAAAGTAAATCTTGATTTATGTGTGTACTTAATTTGGGGGGAAATTTCATTTTAAACGATTAGGCACTTATTTACTGTTTTAATTTGCTGATTTATAAACAAATCAAATACAAACATTTAGCGAATAAACACGGACGCTTCCAAACACATATTTTATTTGACAAATTGCAAATTCATCATTAGCAGATTTTTTCAAAATACAGTCCAAAACAAATTCCGTTTATTTCATACATTAACATGCATCGCTAACGGAATTATGAAGCAAGACACTAAAATTTGTTCGAACCAGGAACAGAAGGCCATGTAAGAACAGCAATTGAAATCAAACACAATTCTTGACAGAAGAACTGTAGCCATTGTCGCAAAACATGAACCACAGCATCACACCACCATATTCGGAAGAAGACTGACTGGAAGGGAGAAACTAAAATTTATTTGGACCAAGAACAATGAGGCCATGCATGTAATAAGAAGAAGAGCACTTGAAATCAAACGCTGTTCTTAATAGAAGAACTGTACCCTTTGTCAGAAGACTAGGACCACAGCATCACACCACCATAATTGGAAGAAGACTGAATAGAGGGTAGAACCTGAGACACTAGTGTGTCTGGTGGGATGTAGCCACCACTGGGGGCTGCATTTGAATCGGCAGGCAGCCCCAAGAAGATCTGACTATTTGGAACCGACGAGGTCCATTGGTTCCAAGCGCTTATAAGATTGTCAGCACTTCCGGCATACTGACATGRAGGATTGTTATAGAACTGGACCCAGACGTAATCAAAGAGGCCAGTTTGAATTGCACCATTAAGCGATGCATCTGGGTAGGGGCATTGCGGAGCAGCACTCAAGTAAACCTTAGAACCGAATCCATTAAGAGCCTTAGCCAACTCGTCCCAGTGTTGGTTCGTGCCATCCTCGAAGTCAAAGTCGATTCCGTCCAGAACAGCGTCCCCTAATGGACGTAAATCTGACTGGCCTCCCAAGAAGTTGTTCCAAAGGTAGTTTGCGACTTGCTGAGCATCATCCGCAGAAGAAAGGTATGTTATTTATAAACTAAAGTAAAGTGAGCAGATGACCGAAATGTCTTGAATCACTTCTCCCTAAAAATGCAGGCAACCCAATAAAGGGCATTTGATTTGCATGATAAACAAGTAGACAACCCCAAATTTGGATTTTAGGCCTTTATGTTAGATGACTAAGCATCTAAATTGTTATTTGAATACAACTGTTGCAAATTTACAAATAGCATAATATGTGCCTTTATGTGATATTTGCGTGTGGATTGCTTCAAGCACTAATGATGGAATATTGACATTTAGTTTGGTGATGAAAAATGTAGCTCTTCTAACCCTTAACTAATCAGTGGTAGACTAGTGAAGCAAGTACTCTCTCAGACCATCTAACCTTTCTTTTTGTATTTGCAAAACTAATTTTATAAAAAATGTTCATTGTCATATCATTCATGGCATATTTCTAGTTTTTATCAAGAAAGATTTGGCAGCCCATTGAATTTAAGTATGCATATGCTTTTAAAACTCACAAAACAATTGCATGTTAATTCATAAATAACATAAAGGAATTGTAAGAGAAAATACACGTAGAATTCAATTTCTCACATTCAACTTGAATTAAATTAAGGGATATGGATAGGGAACGTGCAATCTGTTGACACTCCTATACACTTCCTCACATTCAACTTGAATTTTGTCACCCAACAAAACATGAAATTCCACTATCCAAACATGAGTGACATAAGAGAATGCAAGAAGCTTATTCCTTAAGGAAAACTTTCCAAATTCAAGAGAGTAATATGAATACACAAAGCAAATTTCCTAATCCAAAATTATGTAAATCAAAACTTGAGTAAGATAGAAACAACTCATTCAATTGACACAAGTAGATTGACTATGCAAGGAAAAATGAAAGAAACCTATATATGCTAAAAATAGGGCAAGAGAAGCACATTTATTATCAACCAAATAACACAAGAAGCAATGCATGCAATGATCTAAACAAGAGGCAAGGAAAACAAACTTATTTCTAATAAAAGAGGAAAAACTAATTGGGCCCCACCTATGGTTCAAGAACTCCTTAGTGAAGTCGTCAGTCTATGAGCATCGGAAAACAACTCACCTGGGTTGATTTGGAGTCGCAACCCATCATTTGAAGGAAATGAAGGTGGTGGGACTTCCAAGAATGGCATTATTAATCATTTCAAAATATAGTGACTCCAAATCCCAAGGCAATAGTTAAACCAGTCTAGGGGGTTAGGCACCATTCTCTCGGGTCCAATAGGTGGGGTCCACATTAAATCCCAAACAACCATAATCACAAAACATGCAATTAATCAGGCAAAAAAACAAAAAGAAAAAAGAAAGCATACCAAAGAACAAACCAAAGGAAAAACTCCCTACTTTTATTTTTCTTTGACTATAATTTTTTACTTATTATTATTTTTATTCATTATGTTTTATTACTTTCATGATTTTTTATTTTTATTTTATTTTAATTTCACTTTCCTTTTTTTCATTTGTTTTTGTTAACTTTTTTTTTCATTTTATCTTTTTTATCAATTATTTATCCTTTTATAATTATGCGGCACTATTTATATGCTTATTTATTTACTATTCTTTGAATTTATCACTTATTTATCCTATCTTATCCTAAAAATTTCTTAAACTACCCTTATGGTTTAGTTAATTGACTAACACTACCCTTACTGTTTCTTACAATTTACTAACTCTACCCCTGTTGTTAGCATCCGTTAATGCTCCGTCAATATCTATGCACATGTGACCACACGTGACCCATACAATTTTTTTAAAACCCAATATTACCCTCATATCCTGAGCGCCCCCCCACTCTCTCTCTCTCTCTCTTCTAAGACCTCTCCCTCCGCCTCTGTCTCTCTCTCCATTCTCAAACCTCCCCCCCACTCTCCCTCTCTTGCCCGCACATTGACCACTAGTTCACGACGAGTCTTCCCCTTCTCATCATAGCAATTCTGCCATAAATCATATGACAAAGCAAATTTTCTCTGTCTATTTCTTCATTGACAAACTGAACATTTGAAATTTATTCCAGTATGACAAATAGACAAAAAAAATAGAAGAAAATTCAAAAGAAAACAACAAAACAGAGTAACCAAAGATATACTCTTTTCTAATTTCTTACCTCAAAAACCTTGACTGCTAAGGAGTATGGAGATGAGGGAAAGGGAGGAGAAGACTAAGGAGTATGTTCGGATCTGTGCGTGCATCTCTTTGTGGCTCTGGATGGAAAAGGTAGAGATCATGCCACCGATGGTTATGGCGTAAACGGGTTGGACTGCACCGAAGATAATTGCATAGAGGCTTCCCATGACACCGTTCTTCCATCTAGGAGAATTCAACAACAGAAGCCGAGTGAAAGATGGAGGGGGATAAGACACAGGTAACTGATTCTTGACAGGAAATGGTGACATGAATGAAGCGGGGCTCTTGTTTATACTCAACTGGCCAACACTACTTCTTGCAACCAATGAACACATACAACATAATTCAGATGTTTGTTCAGTATCGTCACAGCTGAACTGCCTCTGTAATTTTGCCAACCTTGTGTAATGATCGTTTGTTTTGTTAATGAGCTCATTGTGAGATCCAATTTCAATAATGGAACCTCCATTGGCCATTGCGATTTGGTCTACGTTCTTCACCATCGAGAGCTTGTGTGAAACCACCTGGTTATTAAATTTTTGGTTATTTTTCAGAGAGTAGAAAAGATTAGACACTGATTTAATATACCATTCAAACTTAATCAGACAATTGAAATCATCGAATCATATTGACTTTTAATCTCTCTCTCTCTCTCTCCCTTAGTTGGATTTGGGTGAGCCAGTGTAGTGTTTTTTGGAGAAACCCAAATCTGAGATAACCCCGATGAGAGCCACTGAAGAGATCGACGGCAGCGGAGATCCGAGAGAAAAAAATGATTGTCTTATATCTGAACCCAGATCTGAGATAACCCCAATGAGAGACACCAAAGATGTTAACGGTAGGGTAGTGTTAGTCAATTTTCAAACAGTAATGGTACGCTTAGTCAATTAGCTAAACCATAAGGGCAGTTTAAGAAATTTACCCATATTATTATCTACTTATCTTTTCTGTATTTTTTATTATTTATTATTTTCTATTATTTCCTTTTGCTTCAAATCTGCCCTACACTTTACAACCAGCACCCTTCCCTTTTGAGTTTAATTTACAAACATGGCTCACCCTTGATCTTTTCCTTTTCTTTTTTATTGATTTTTTTACCATTTTTTTAGTTTATGCATTATTCACTTAATTATCGATTTCTTGACCAATCTACCCCGAGAGTGGTTCTTTGTTTAAGGAGTGCTTAAGTATGTCGTTGTCTTCCTCGACCCCGGCATGAGAAACATAGAGTAGTCAACAAATGATATTTCTTAGTGGATCTAAATAAGCTAATAGAGGCAACTACCCAATCCCAAAAACAATAAATGTCTAACTTAAAAAACACTCAATCTAACCAGCAATCAATTAGACAGTCAGATCAAATCAATGAGAAAGGAAAAATGATTTTTTTAAAAAAAGTGAATAAAAAAAGAATGATCCAATCTCTAGATAAACAATGAATTCGAACCAGATCTATAGGATGTTACAAAATCCAACAAGGAACTATGTTCGGCTTGGGTCGATGAGGAGAATCTACTGGAACTACTTCGGTAGAGCCGTAACCAACCCCGTTGACTTCCCCTCTTCCTCAAGCCCCAATTACAGCAAGAATGTAAAGTAGATAAAATAAGTAAAGCGAAGATTGAAACGATTATCTAGGGAAGGTAAGAAAATAGAGCATACCTGGTTAACTATCGTTCTGAATTCAATCGGTGAATAGAGGGGTGAACAACTAGTTCAAATGATAATGATGGGAAGAGGACTAGAGACGTCATTTGATGATGAAGAGGAAGGGGATAGAGAGAGAGGACAGAGGGAAGACGTCATTTGACGATGCAGAGGAAGGGGACAGAGAGAGAGGACAAAGGGTAAAGAATGAGAGAGAGGAAGAGGGAATGAGGGAATGAGGGAAGAAGGTGTGGGAAGAGAGATCAAAGGAGGGGGATTTTGATCCAATCTACCACTACAATGAGTGCTCTGCTTTCACCGAGAAAACAATGGGCGGGGGGGCTCAAACTGGGAAAGGAGAAGAATGAAAGAGAAGGGTGAAAGAAAATGATAAAAGAATAAATGAGAGAAGAACGAAAAGAAATCAAATGGAATGTAGTTCTAGTGCCCCCGCTCTTCATTGCAAAGTTGAAGATGATGAACTGTATCCTTAATTCATGATTCAGCTTTGGTTCGATGAAAGTGAGAGGACGGTGGATACAAACAAGAAAGGAAATGGAGTAGATGATACGATAAGAATTAGAGAGGGGAGAGGGATTTTGGAGTGTATGAGAGGAAGAAGGAAGAAGATGGCGAGGGGAGGATAGATTGTCGTCGGTGTTCACCAAAGATGATGAATAGTGATGGAGAATAGTAAGGTTTCAGAGATTCCCAAAATCAGAACTCTATGGTTACATTTACATAAGGAGTTAGGGGCATTTTCATAAATTTGGCAAAGTTTAGGGGTATTTTCGTAATTTTTAGAAATTTGGGTCTAAATAGTTTAAGGGGGCTCAAACCGGGATTCTAATTGTATAGTTGAGATTTGGAGGTCAAAATGTATAGTGCTAAGATGGGCCTAATCATAGATAAGGGTTTTGTGTGTACGAGCTAGAGGGATTAGCCATAACAGAATGTTTTAGGATGAATGGAAAACAAGAATATTTTTTGTTGAAATTTCACAAGGTAGGGTTTTTGAGCACTCTGTGTTTACTAGTATGGTCAAATTGGCCCCATTAGGTAAAGGATTAAGCATATCTAGAGGGTGAAGGATTTGGTCGATTTAGAGCTTTAGAATGAAATCTTTATGTGATGAGAGAACAAATAAAGTTCATTTAGGCTGAAATTTTACAAGTGAGTATCTTATGGTATTTGAGATCTGGTGGTAATGTCTGATTGGTTCAAGGAGGTCAAGATTGTAGGAATTTTGGTCAATGAAAGGATCCGAAACGGAATCTTGGTTTGATGGAAGGATAAATGGGAGAATCTTGGGTTAAAACTTTATAGGCAGGTGTTTTGGTGTGTCTATGGCTTGATCATATGGTCTAATCGGCTCAGATGTGTTTAGATCAAGGGGATTTGGATAGTTGGTGTTTTAGGTTAATGAGGGGATCAAAATAGAATCTTTGCTTAATGAGAGGGTAAATGAAGTTTTGAGCTGAGATTACTAGATGGGTATTTTGAGAGGTCTTCAGTCCGATGGTGGTGTTTGATCCGAGGGTCAAAGTCTCGATGGGAGTTAATCAGGGCCATCAGATTGGTATCGAGCAAACTTAACAGTGGATCTGAGGGCTTTTGGGTTAAAAATCGGTTTTCGGGGTTTTGGGGTGTTGTAGAGAGATTGGAAGGGTTTGATAAGGCATTCAGGGTGAGTTGGAGGTTTAGGCAGCAGATCAAACAAAAATCGGGTTTGATCAGACATTCATTGTTCTGACATGTGCCTTTTGAAAATGGATCTATACCCACAGAATTCAACAAGTCAATCGTTACTCTTATTCCAAAAACTAACAACCTTGAATCAGTGAGACATTTTCAACTAATCATTCTTTTGCAAAACCATATATAAGGTAATTGAGAAATTAATTGTTAGTAGATTGAAGCCTTTACTCCTTCAATTAAACACTTCCTTGCAAACAAGTTTCATTCCAGGTAGGCACCTTAGATAGAATGCAATCATTCTACATGAATTTTACATTCTTTCAAAATGAAGAATGGGAAAGAGAGCTATTTTGGGATTATACTAGACCTAGAGAAAGCCTATGATAAATTGGAATGGCCATTCATTTTTAAAACCCTTATAAGTCTGAACATTCTCTTAAACTAGATCAATTTAATAATGAACTATATTACTACTACGTCCCTAGCTATAAACTTCAATGGTGAACACCTTGATGTTTTCAATCCTATGAGTTGCCTCTAACATGGAGACCCTCTATCTCCCTATATTTTTCTGTTATGTTTGGAAACCTTCTTAGGTCTAATAAGAAAATGGCAAAAAGGCCACATCACCCCCTTTAAGAGATCTAGGAATGGACCATGTCTATCCCATATTTTCTATGTTGATGATCTCTTCATTATTGCAAATGCTTCTTGTTGAGATTTAGCATTTTCTTATGATTTCCTTGTTTATAATCATTAGTTAGTGTTATTGGGCCCAAAGCCCATTAGTTTATATTGTTTATTTGAATTTGTATTTATGTTATGAATAGTAGCCACCCTAAAGGGTATATTTGTCTTTATAATCAATCTTTTTTATGAGCATATAAGATAATGAGTGGGGAAGCCAAAATCTCTCAAAATCTCTCTCTTCTCTTTTTTATGAGCATATAATC